CCTTCTCAAATTTCGAATCCCTTTGTGTGGTTGAACTTAGGCTTTCGTATTTGAACCCCTCGGAGCATGCTTGTTTGATTGGTCATCAAACTCGTAGAGTGTTTTCAGCCTCGAGCATAGTGAGTATTCTATCTGCTCAAGGTAACGACTGTAAAGGTAATCCCTTTAACTCTTAGTCTTTCGGGTTGAACCAACTATACGATTGGATTCAAGTGGCTTGTGACTCGAGTAGCTCAATACGCTTGGGTTGTCGCGTATCATTTGGTATCAGAGCTTAGGCTCTAGACCGGGATATATGTTATTTTTCTGTCTTTAAATTTCTTGTCATTGTCATTACTTTCTTTTATTCAAAAATCTTGCAAAAAAATGTCATCCATTGTTCTTGTTCTTCCGCGTGCCTTTTGATCTATCATTCTTGCAAAATAATTTTTGATAATTTTGTGCACAAAACTTGTTTGCTTGTGTTTAGCACCTAAAAAACTTTCCAAAAAATCAAGTTTCACTTTAGTCCGAGCCCTATAGTCAAAGTTATCAATTTTTCTTCGAATCCTAGAATTTGAGAGAAACCTGCAGAGAGCACAAATAAAGAGCCGACTTAAAAAATCCGAGCCCTATAGCCAAAGTTATCGATTTCTTTTTGGCAAGTAATCCTAACATTTTTTATATTTTGATTTAAAAAAATTGTTGGATTATTTTGACCAATTTGGACAGCCCAAAAGAAGAAGGACAGCCGTCTAACCCACTGGGCCACCCGAGAGAGACTTTTGTGCAGCCCCAAAATTTTCTTTGAGAAAGTAGCCCCTCCAACGAATTCCAAACCTATTGACAGGCCACATACATCAAGTACACTTGTTGTGCTACCATTTGCCACTAGTTGGAGCCCCATCCGAGCTGTATACATCACGCACCCTTCACTCAAAGTTACTCTACTTGCCTCAAAGGTTATTGTTTTGTTGGTAAGGAAACTTTTTGTGTGTGTTGCACTACAAATTGGATTTTGTACATATTTTAAGTTTATTTTTGATTTCATTAGTTTTATTTGCATAGTTTTTTCTTGTTTAGCTTTAACATCAATTTGCATATTGTTGTTGAGTCCATAGAACCAAAAGCATTAGGCTCAAGGTTGTCTTTATCTTTGCTTGTATTTGGTCTTAAGTATCATTTGATGTCTTTTTGATTCTTAACATCATTTGGTCTTTGTTTGCCACCATTTGATTCTTGTCTTCGGTATCATCTATACCATTGACCTCTTAGTCAAAAAAAAAAAAAAAAAAGAAGAAAAGAAAAGAGAAGAATATTTTTGCAAAGGAATATTTTTGCAAAGTTGCTTGTAGGCTTATACTCACTTGTTCCAAGACCGATTCGCCACAAGCATTCAAGTGAGCATCTCCAAAGGGTATCCACACCAACATCCACCCTACCAAAAGGAGAGAAGCTGAGAGGACAAGTAAGGGAGAGAGTGAGTTTATAAATTGTTATTTTGTTCTAACCTTTACTTTTCTAGGATGGAGTCAAGAATGAAGATTTCACAAGGAGCCACCACCAACTCCCAAGAAGAAGGAGTAAGTCCACATTGTAGGTATTCATTAGATGCTAGGAGATCTCTCAATGCACAATCTAGGGAAGAATCCTTGGAGAAACATAGAGATAATATTTTTTACACTAGATGCATAATAAATACCACAACTTGTAGTGTTCGTATTGATAGTGGTAGTTGCACTAATGTAATTAGCACCTATATAGTAGCCACCACACCACATCCATGTCCATATAATTTGCAAGGTTTAACTAGTAGTGATAAAATAAAGGTCCAAAGTCAAGTTAGAGTTTCTTTTGCAATATGTAGGTATAAAGATGAAATTATTTGTGATGTTATACCTATGCAAGCTTGTGACCTTTTATTTAGAGGACCTTGGCAATATGACAAAAAGATAAAGTATGATGGTTTTCATAACAAGTACTCATTTGAAAACAATGGCAAGAAAACTACATTACTTCCCTTACCTCCAAAAGAAGTTCAAATTGATCAAAGAAAGTTGGAGGAAAGAAGAAAGGAGTTCACGACCAAGGAGACTACCAAGTTGGAGGAAAGAATGAAAGAGGTTGCAATGAAGGAGGCTACCAACATCCAAGTGGAAAAGGTAAGTACTCCCAACCAATGTAAGAAGGTTGAGAACCTCAAGGTAAGTTCAAATAAGGTTGACCATAAATTGCCTTGTGATGATATGCACGAAGATTCTATTTTATTTGATTGCAATGACTTGCATGATTCTATGCCTACGGTTGAAAAGAAAAGTAGTGAGCTTGACAATTGCACACCCATGCATGACACTCATATTGAGTGCAAATTATTATGTGATAACATGCCTATTGTTGAGATAAA